GCCTCTTCGGTTTTCGAACAAGCAATCCTGTCGGGGATCTGGCTCTCGAGATTCGGAGAACGATGCCTCTTCGATTTTTGAGAAAGCAATCATGCTGGGGGTCTGGCTCTCGAGATTCGGAGAGCGGTGTCTTCGATTTTTGAGAAAGTAATCATGTTGGGAGTTGGGAGTGTTTTCTCGAATATGAGTAAAGGTTGGGCATGTTTTGCTAGTCTACCTTGCCACGAAGCACAGAGGTTGACACACAGGGACTTTCCAATTATCCAGCAGTGGTACTGTTCCTTTACCCTCTCTTCGATTTTTGAGAAAGTAATCATGTTAGGAGTCTGGCTCTCGAGATTCGGAGGGCGGTGCCTCTTCGATTTTGGAGCAAGCAATCTTGTTGGGGGTGTTTTCTCGAATGTGAGTAAAGGTTGGGCATGTTTGCTAGTCTACCTTGCCACGAAGCACAGAGGATGACACACAGGGACTTTCAAACTATCCAGCAGTGGTACTGTTCCTTTACCCTCTCTTCGATTTTTGAGAAAGTAATCATGTTGGAAGTCTGGCTCTCGAGATTCGGAGGGCGATGCCTCTTCGATTTTGGGGCAAGCAATCTTGTTGGGAGTGTTTTCTCGAATGTGAGTAAAGGTTGGGCATGTTTGCTAGTCTACCTTGCCATGAAGCACAGAGGTTGACACACCGGGACTTTCCAATTATCCAGCAGTGGTACTGTTCCTTTACCCTTGTGGGTAATAATATGGTAGCTAGGCCGTCAAAATTTATGTGTCTAAACTTTGTTAGTGTTGTTTCTTTGCTATTCTTTTACCCTTCTTGATCAGAGCGATGTAGTGAGAGTTGCAAGCTTCACGTGTCTCGACTTTGTCAGAGAACTTTGGCAAAGTTATATGTGGTACCCATGAGCTACTGTTGCGTGTGGGAAGTGGGTGATTGAACAGTACGATTCATGTGCTTTCTACTTCGCCAGAAATCTTCGACAGAATGCCCATAATTTTCGCAAAGCTGAGTGTGCGTGTGACAGGTGCTGACAAGGCTGGAAAAGTAGTCTCAACTTTGTCAGAGAACTTTGACAAAGTTATATGTGGTACCCATGAGCTACTGTTGCGTGTGGGAAGTGGGTGATTGAACAGTATGATTCATGTGCTTTCTACTTCGCCAGAAATCTTCGACAGAATGCCCATAATTTCCGCAAAGCTGAGTGTGCGTGTGACAGGTGCTGACAAGGCTGGAAAAGTAGGTGCCTCTTCGATTTCTGAGATCGACCCTCGTGGTCTCTGAACAGCCCAGCTTTTGAGAAAGCAAACCTCTTCGATTTCTGAGATCGGCCCTCGTGGTCTCTGAGCAGCCCAGCTTTTGAGAAAAGCAAACCTCTTCGATTTCTGAGATCGGCCCTCGTGGTCTCTGAGCAGTCCAGCTTTTGAGAAAGCAAACCTCTTCGATTTCTGAGATCGGCCATCGTGGTCTTTGAGCAGCCCAGCTTTTGAGAAAGCAAACGCCTCTTCGATTTCTGAGATCGACCCTCGTGGTCTCTGAGCAGCCCAGCTTTTGAGAAAGCAAACGCCTCTTCGATTTCTGAAGCTTCGTCAAGTGCAGATTTTTATAGAGGCTGACATTAAGTTCCAAAGCACACTTGAATATCCACCAGTAGAAGCTCCATTCTTGCACTTCTAAGATCTTGATTTGTCTGACCTCTTCTCTCTTCTACACCTTTGAAAATGTCTGGCCCCTCCGACCGTCGTTTTGACTTGAACCTTGTTGAAGAGGCAGCCCCGCCTTCTCCAGACAACATATGGCGCCCATCCTTCGTCTCCCCTACTGGTCCTCTTACCGTTGGGGATTCCGTGATGAAGAATGATATGACCGCTGCGGTAGTGGCCAGGAACCTTCTCACTCCCAAAGATAACAGACTACTTTCCAAACGGTCTGATGAGTTGGCTGTTAAGGATTCTCTGGCTCTTAGTGTTCAGTGTGCAGGTTCTGTGTCTAATATGGCCCAACGCCTATTTGCTCGAACCCGCCAAGTTGAATCATTGGCGGCTGAAGTGATGAGTCTCAAACAGGAGATTAGAGGGCTCAAGCATGAGAATAAACAGTTGCACCGGCTCGCACATGACTATGCTACAAACATGAAGAGGAAGCTTGACCAGATGAAGGAATCTGATGGTCAGGTTTTACTTGATCATCAGAGATTTGTAGGTTTGTTCCAAAGGCATTTATTGCCTTCGTCTTCTGGGGCTGTACCGCGTAATGAAGCTCCAAATGATCAACCTCTGATGCCTCCTCCTTCTAGGGTTCTGTCCAGTACTGAGGCTCCGAATGATCCCCCTCCGGTGCCTTCTCTTTCTGGGGCTCTACCGACTGCCGAGACTTCTCCTAAGCAACCTTTGTGAAGGCTCCCTCTTATTTGTTTTATTTTGACTCAAGTATATGTACATATTTGTAATTTATCGGGGATATCAATAAATAAGCTTTCCTTCATTTCAACGTATTGTGTTAAATCACCAAAGCCTTCTTCGCTAAGTTCTTTGAATTTTCTTTTGTTGAAGCTTGTATGTTGGAGCTTTGTGAGTGGAGCATGTAGGTTGAGGTAGTGTTCCCTTAATTTCCCGAGCGAGGACAACTTCTCGGTTGGAGACTTGGAAAATCCAAGTCACTGAGTGGGATCGGCTATATGAATCTTAGAACGCCATTGTGTTCTGTCCTGTGTCATGTCCTCCGTTAGATCCAAGTACTCTAAGTCTTTTCTTAGGGTCTCTCTCAAAGTTTTCCTGGGTCTTCCTCTACCCCTTCGGCCCTGAACCTCTGTCCCATAGTCGCATCTTCTAATCGGAACGTCAGTAGGCCTTCTTTGCACATGTCCAAACCACTGTAACTGGTACAAATTGATACAAGAATGAAAATTCAAGTAAGATTAAGACTCTAACTCATGATCAAAGAAATGTTGGCATTGAAAAAACAATGGTTTATTAGAAGTATTATGATTTCAATACGAAATTAAATCATACCTAAGAAATTATACATGACTTCACTTTCACCTCTTCTCCTAGCCATTGACTTGGTTTTACAGGTTTAGTTTCACTCTTTACATTCAAGTTTTTTTTTCTGTGAAATCTAATTTATGTTAAACCCTAACTCATACTAGATGTCCATAGAATATGATGTAATGAATTGAAATGATGAATTTGACCCTCTATGTGATAGTCATGTGATTTTATTTAACGGAAGACTAACGAAAATTTGGATTTGGACCTTAATTGCTAATAAAGCTCATCACAAGAGTTTAATTAAAAGCCTTTTCACTACAAAAATTGCATTGAAAATGCCGTGTCACCACAAGAATCACGAAAAACATTTAGCCAAACATGTAATATACGTTGCAACTTACAAGTTAGAAAGTGGAAATTGTGAAGCATCCACAGATTTAAATATCGATATTATCGGCGAAATATCGTCGATAATATCGATTTTTCCGGTCGGCGATATTTTAACTGGTTTCCGTGGGGTTTTCGGCCAAATATCGCGATATTTGGAAATTATCGGCGAAATATCCATGGACGGTGGAATCGGAATCCGAGGCGACGTCGGAGAAGAACGCCGGAGACGGTGGGGCGATTCCCGGGCCGGTTTCGTCCCAAAAACCTTGCAAAAACACGAATCTTAACATTAATTTCACAAATATACATCAGATTTCACAAATATACAAACGATTCAAGGTAGGGTGAAGTCGGAGAGATTAGGGTTTAGGGTTTCATGGAATCTCACCTGACGAAGCGGAATACGAACGATCCTTGCTCCGCGGCGCACCTCTGACTTCGCCTGAGCCACGATCAACGGCGATCTTTGTGTGTGTGTGTGTTTGGGAGAAGAGAGATCAGAGATCTCTCTTTGTATGTGGGTGTTTGGGAGAATAGAGATCGGAGAAGGGAGAAGAGAGATCGGAGAATGGAGATGAGAGATCGAGAGATCTCTGTGTGCATGTGTGTGTTTGGCAGAAGAGAGATCGGAGATCTCTGTGAGTCCGATCTCTGTGTGTGCGTGTGTTGGACTTGGATCCGATGTCAACCTGTGGAGCTCTCTGTGTGAGTGTGTGTGTGGGAGAAGAGAAGGGAGAAGAGAAGGGAGAAGAGAGATGGAGAAGGATGATCGAGAGAGAGAGAGACTGATGAGCTCTCTGTGTGTGTGTGTGTTTGGAAGAAGAGAAGGGAGAAGAGAAAACGAGAAGGATCGAGAGAGAGAGACTGAGGTGTGGTCTGCGTGCGTGCGTTGTGTGTGCGTGCGATGTGTTTTTGACAGTGATGATGTGTGTGGGTTCCTCCTGTCAGGAGGATAAACTCACTCAATATTTTTACAATTATTTAGACAATTTCATGCAGCTTTTACAATTATCAATTGTATTCTTTTCAGACCATGAATGGTGGTCATTTGTGTGTGTGTGTGGGTTCCTCCTGTCAGGAGGACACATGACTCACTCATTCTACACATAGAGATGATGAAGATAGTGACAAATTTGAACCTCATAGGAACTCTATGTGGTTCTAAAGTGTAAAATATTGTACTAATTCATTATATATAAATGATTATGGTGTGTTTAGACTTCTTTCATTAATTACTACATATTTTCTACACTCATAATGTTTATCAGATCGCTATATAATCAACTTGATAATGTTAAATCCATCATGCAATGCATTTCCTTCCAATTTTTTGTGATAAACTAATAGATAATTGACTAAATAAACATCCTACAAAGTTTCAATAAAAATTTCCAAGTTTTTCTTACAATTTCCGTGGTTTCCATGTAATTTTTATCGATATCGATATTTTACCGATATTTCCATCGATATTTCCGTGTTTTCGGACTACCGATATTTCCGATATCACCGATATTTTCTTCCTTGGAAGCATCATATTTTGCCCCCACGCCTTTTAACACGTGCACCGAACCATCGACGACTCTCAGCCGTCCGTTTCGTCATCAGAGATAATTAGATTCGATGCCTAATTAGTTGTACAGAAAAAGAAGTAATGGAAAGTTGTCAGCAGCAGAAGAAGAAACCCTAAAACTCTATCGCCCCCTGTTTACTTGGAACATTCTCATCCCACGCAGACGCGCACGCACGCAGATCACTCAACCGCCATTGCTGATTGCTTTCGGTTTTGGGTTTGTTTTCTCTTCTCTCTCTCTCACTGTCACTCTCGCTTTCGTTTTCTGAGAATATCAAAAACTGCAAGAAAATTGATTGGAGAAACTTGGTTGTGATTTTCTCGGTAGCCAAACAGGTATTCTGAAAGTTTGTAGTTACGATTTCCAGATTGTGATTGGTTTTTGTTGTTTGTTTGTTTGTGTGTTTTAGGGTTAGAAATGGCAGAGAAGACGGTTGAAATCGTGGACGATCAGGCTGAGAATTTCTTCGATGCCGATCAGGCGGCGGAGTTGGGCCGCAAGGTCGAGGGTTTTGAGCGGGAGAAGCTCGAGCTCCAGCGCGAGAACAAGGAGACGAAAGAGAAAATTCAGGAACTGACGGCGGAGATCGAGAAATTAAAGAGCAGCGAGAAGGAGACGAAGGAAAGGCTCAGGGAGATGGAGTTAGAGATTGAACGGACCGAGGAGGGGAAAGATGTGCTGGAATCGGTTGCGAATAGAGCGATGGAGCTTGAGACTGAGGTAGCGAGGCTCCAACACGATCTGATCTCTGCCATGGCAGAAGGGGAGGATGCAAATAACGAAGTGGCGGAGCTGAAGCGTGTGTTGGGCGAGAGGGGGGAGAAAATTGATAGCTTGGAGAAGGAGCTCGAGAGCCTGAAGAAGGCGAAGGCTGATAGTGAGAAGAGGATTAGGGAATTGGAGAGGAAGATTGGGGTTTTGGAAGTGAAGGAGACTGAGGAGAAGAGCAAGAAAATTAGGGTTGAGGAGGAGATGAGAGAGAGACTTGATGAGAAAGAGAGTGAGCTTAGCTTGTTCAAGAAGAAAGTGGAGGATTTGGAGTCGGTGATTGTGAAGAACAATGCTGAATTGGGGAAGAGAGTGAGTGAGAAGCTCAATGTCGAGGCGGCGCTGAGGGAATCAGAGGATAAGTGCAGAGGCATGGAAATGAAGTTGGGAAAATTGCAGAAGGACGTGCTGGATGCTGAAAAGGTTATTAATGGATTGAAGGAGAGGACTGTTGGGGAAATTAATGGGACTGTGAATGAAGTGAAGGAGATTTCTAGAGAGACAGAGTCGAAAGGATTGAGCTTGCCAGTTGTGGCAGGGTCCACTGGAGTCGTTGTTGCCACAGCAGCTGCTGTTGTCTATGTGTTGTATGTAAGGCAGAGGTGATTGGAACGCAATGCGGCATAGAGGAAAAAAATCCAGGCAGGCTTAAAACTAGAGGTTAGGGTTTATTTGGTTAAGAGCATATGTCGCAGTTTTGATAGAATTACTGAATGCTTTTTTGTTGGCTTTTGGTTTTTTGCGAGCCTATCTTGCTAGCTCTATCAGTTTGGGATGCTGTTTTGTTTAGCTTTTGCTTGCTTGGTTGGAAAAAATAAAAAACTCCATATATGTAGTTTCGAAGGATTTATCATACTTTGGCTATAACTATTTTGTATTCGTACCCTGTGTGCTCCAAGCCATATTTAATTGCTGGAATAAACAAATACTGCATGACGGTTTTTTGCTAATTATTTGATGGTTTGTAAGCACATTGTTAATCTGATATCTCGAACACGTAGCACTTTCACTGAATTTGTTCAATTGCCTTGTTGGTGCTTTCCTTAAAGTTCCATTTAGTAGTTTTTGAAGAAAAGCTGTCGTTTAATTAGAGTTGAATTAGTCATAAACCTTGTAGGTTGGGTTGGGTTGTGCTAGGGCTACTGAATTCTACTATTTATGTTTGCATTCAATTTTGGTTAATTGTAGTATACTCTCTTTCGAGGATCAGTAAATAGGCGAACATTCATGAAATCTTGTTTGTTCATGCTCATATTTTTATGCAAATTCGAACCCTTTTTCTGAGAAGTTAGTCTTCTGTTTAGGTATAGACTCAAAGCTGAGCAGTAATTCTTTGATTTTAATCGCTTATCAAGTCGTATCCATCTTAGTGCCTCATATTGTTTTGTTCTTTATGGTGGTTAAATACGAAATGCGCATCTTTGTTAGCCTTTGATGGTTTTCTTGAATATCCACCTCCCCCGTGCAGACTTCTCCCACGAATTTAAATGGTTTCTGTGTACATATATATATATATATATATGATCCTCCTTGCCTGTTCCTGGACTTGCTATTGCTATCAAATCGTTGATTCTTCTGTTCTAGTAATCTACGAAAATTCTAGACTTCTAGTTGGAGTTTTTGATTGCCATCGTGATTTTGGATACGGTGCATCTGAAACAGCTCTCGATCTTACAGTTATGATCTGGTCCTTTGTAAGATTGGCTTCAGTCCTCTGATCCAAGTTTCTCTCTTCCTTCAGTCCTTCAGTCCTTCAGTCCTTACTAACCAACTCATAAACTTGTGCAGAAAGCAAGTAGAACTTTATTATCCTTCGTTTTGTGTCGCTTGCAGTTTGTTTCAAGCGTTTCATTCACTTCAATATAGCAAAAGAAACGCGTTTGAACACTCTATTTTTTGCCTCGTTCTAACGGTTTTTTCAAGGCTTATTTTTTTAATGTCCCCTGCAACTCAGACTTCAATTTCATTTTGTCCCTTTAAACAAAAATTTCTCCATTCGCACATTGGAACTCAATATTCGCTTCACTTTGCCATCAATTCGGTTAAATTGGCGTGTGCCATCAATTCGGTTAAATTGGCGTGTCGAATGTGCTGACGTGCAAGGGTAATATAGTAATTACAGCTTAGTTGGCACTGTTGGACCTTTAAATTATCCAGGGCAGCCAATCAGAAACTGATTTGTAGTTTTCTTTCCACGTCATTAATACCCACGCTTCTCTGGGCGACTCTGAAATCCGGCGAAGTGGGGTAAGCTCTTCCTCTCGCCGTTGTTAGTCCTCTTTCGGTGCTCGACCAACCAAACGATCGATTTGGCGATCGGCGCAGATGAAATAAACCCAAATTTCGATGCGGTGAAATGGCGCGGCGGAGCTCAACTCAGGGAGAATATGATGGAGGCGGCGTCCGATAAGTTTGTGGTGGTGGGGATAAGACGTAACTGGTTGCTGGTCTCGGAGGAAGCGGTGCCGTGCTCAAGATCCCATGTCTACAGGCTGCAGCTAAGAAGGCAAGCGGCCCAGTTATCTCCGCTGTCAGACATTCAAACAATCAGGTTTGTAAAATTCTTAACTATTTAAAAGTTTGTTTAGATTTGCTTTTAAAATAACTAAAAAACGCTTTTTGTGAAAATATTTTTGAAACCAATTCTTAATAAAAATGTAAGTAAATTATGAAAAAGCACTTAAAAGTGTTTCATGGAAAAAACACATAATTGGTGCTTCTTGCAAAAAACATATCAAGTGCTTTTGAAATCCAAAAACATTTTCTCTAAAAAAACTTTCAATCATTTTAAAAGCACATTCAAACGAGCCCAGTCTTTGTTTCTTAATCTTAATTTCCTTCATTGATGATTGCTTTTGATTTTTTTAATTTGCGTAATGTTTTGATCAGAAGAACATGAAGATCTGAATCCAATCACAAAAACCCTGAATTTCAAATATTTTTGGTGCAGCTTCCGGCACCGAAGAGAGGTGCGATTGCTATGGAAAGCCTTCACTTGACAATTTGACCAAATTACCCATTTCGCAAACTGCCACTTGGAGGCCACCTATGCACTTTTCAAGCCACGTCATCAATTTTGACGGAATTGACAGAATTATCCAAAGCGGAGCTAATATTGAGTTTCATGGTGTAGTTGCGAAATTTTAATTTCAAGGAGAAAAGTGAGATTGAAGTTGAGGGCATTGCAAATATAAGCCACCAAGACCGGATGGTGTAACCTTGGGCGATTGAGGTTCGGTTTACATGCACCACCATCCGGCGGACTTTGTGAATCTGTTGTGACTAATCTCGTGATGAGTAAGAAAGTGTATAACCTGTTGCAAGTAAGTTATTGTCGGATCATGGGCATTAACAATTAAAAATTAACACTCAAGCATAAACCTTTCTTTAGCATTAACCATCAATGTATGGATGATATACGTTCGGTAACAAATTCTTTAGTTCTACATTTACCAAATCAAAAATTAAAAAATGAAATACTTAGTACATACAAGTCACTGAAAGGAATATAAAAGAACCGTTCTTCAGTAAATACGAAAAATACACCAGATAATGAAATTCACTCCACACAAAATCACGAATAACCAATCTCAAATCATCAGCTGCTAACACAAAGTGAAGCTCTAAATCTGAAAACACTATATAGATTTAGGTATAGCTGTGCGATCTTCATGGCTCAGTTGCACCAGATGAAATGTTGTGTTTCTGAAGAATAGAGATCGAAAAAGAAGATACAGTTAGCCCAGAGTTTTTTGATAAATGATATAATATTCTAGTCTAAAATCATCTAAATTACGGGAATGAGAATTTAAACTTGGGGGTGCAGAAGGAGAGATACATTGTTATAGTCAACTTAACTAAGCTCAGGTCCGTAGTCAACCCAGAGTTTAAGAAACAGAGAGTTTAGCACGAGAAATGCAATTGGCAATCAAAAAGATGTGCGTGGATGACTATCAGCCGTTGGTGGGTAAAACCGCTTCTATCAACGGCTGACAGTTGCTCCCACGCATGGCCGACTATCTCTAAGACAACTCATGTGTGCGTATGTGTGACCTTCTGATAGACCCATGCATTATAGGCCACCCACTAACTGTAAAGCCATGTTTATGATGCAACATTCCAATATACAAAAGTTTATATGCCAACACATGACAGCATATCCCAAAGCTTTATTAGGTCAGTTCACCTAAAAATACATAAAACACTTTAAAGCAAAAAATAGCAGGAAACTTGATCAATTTCTTGATCCGTATATATTTTGGTCCTGCAGATTGAGATAATTGTACAACCTTGTATATAACATATAGCAGCAGGACAAGGTTTTTTTTTTTTGGAAGACCAGCAGGACAAGTTTTGACTGAAGAAAAAAAGCAGCAGGACAACTAACTTGAAACCGAACAGGTAGAACAACAAAGTACAGATAAACCCTAGCGAGTAGTAACTTAGCTACAAAGTATCCTCGGATCGAAACGAAACGAAACAAATCAAGAGCATAGTTGAACTTGTAATGCAACAACTAACTATTTTCGGAAGAGTATTATCTTCAATTAATTACCTTAAATTATCTGTCAGATCTTCGGTGCAGAATTTCGAAAAGTCCACAGCAACTCCTCCATGAAGTCGGATGCAGGGGGCGTCCGGCACCGGAGACAGTAAACTGCTAACAGATAAACAAAGAAGTAGTCATTGATTTGAAAAGAATTTTATGTAAGCTACACGAGTTAGAACAACTTAAGCAAATCGGTTACCGGATTTCCTGAGCTTTCGGGGATCACGGCCTTGCCATAATCTTGTCCGGCATCAGCTGATTCGACTACTGGAACCTCTTCCTTGTAAGCAGTACCTGATGACTCCCCAGTTTGCTCTTCGGAAACTGGTTTTTTTATTTCCTCGGTTCCCTTTGACACAACATCTGCAACAGCAGCAGGAACCGGTTTCGACTCCACATATGCTTCTTCAGTTCCTTTCGACTCCACATATGTTATGACTGGAGCACAATCCTCTTTCTTGCCCAACGGCAATGTTGATTCTTCAACCTCCTCGGACACCAAACCGGTTTCGACTGGAGAAAGCCCATTACTCTCTTCCACATATGACAATATTTTTTCCTCAACCTGCTTCGACACCTCCTCCGTGATGGCCGGAGAAGATTCATCAGTCTCATCCAAAGACGCCACCACCTTCTCCTCCTCCACCACCTCCTCCGCTTTGGTTTCCTCAACAACACCACCTTGATCCAAATGATTGGACACAGATTTAACCGTCTTAGCAACCGAGATATCAACTTCTTCGGTCTTCTCCTCTACTACTTTCCCTGAATCATCCGCCACTTGAGCACTTTCCGCCTCTTCATCCGAACTACTACTACTGAAACTCGAACTCGAACCCGAACCCGAACCATCAGCATCATCTTCACGGGTTTCCTTTGCCGGCTCGGAACCATCATAGATAGCGACATCCCGCACGGATTCAACCACAGGTTTTGAGTCCCCAACATCGCCTGGTTGAACATTTTCATCCCCCTCAAGCTTCCCATTTGCAGAATCCGCCATTTCGTTAAGATTTGCAGAAATTTTTTGCCTCTCCTCCTTCTTCGAGTATTGATCACCGGCAGAATGATTTTGACAAGTTGCAGAAGCAGTATGGCAACTCCTTAATTCTTTGTCTACCACAAAATATAGTCAGGTCAGAAACATTTCATATGTATTAGTTTAACAAAGTAGAAAGAGACAGAAAAAATTACAGAGGTGTGAACGGGAAACAATTAGTCAACCTAATTGGAAACCAATAGCCAATTAAACAAATAATGATAAAAGGGTGTGCTATCTAACAACTCATTTTTACTTCTTACACATCTGTTGTTAATTTATATAATTTGATCTTCTTTCTTCCTTAGATCCAATGATAGAAAATTAAGAGAGTGTGTGGGAAATAAAGATGGACGTGTAGGTAGCACACCCCATAATAAAATGGAACCAGAGAGAGAGAGAGAGAGAGAGAGAGAGAGAGAGAGAGAGAGAGAGAGAGAGAGAGAACCTTGGAGTGGGGGTTGTTGGAGTTGAAGGGTGGGTGGAGATTGACGGATTCTGCTTTTGGTTTTCTTCTTGGCAAGTAGTTTTGGTTTGATTTTCTTAGGACGTGGAGGCATGGTTTAGTGTTTGACTGGTTGCTAAGAATTTAGAGAGAGAGAGAGAGAGGTTTGGGAGTGAGATGCTTAAAAAAAAAACACCCATGAAAAAAAGCTGTGAGGATTTTAGGTGTTTGGTAAACTGAAAAAAAATGGCTTATTTTGGAAGCTGTTATGAGAATAAGCTGAAATCAAAGGAAAAAACTGAAGCTGTTATTTGTAGCTTTGGAAAATCACAGCCGCTTATTCTCATAGCACAACCGCTTATTCTCACAGTAATTTTTTTTCAAAGCACAGCAATACCAAACCAGCCCATAGAATGTCGGGTACGTAAGTTAAAGATGGTGGAAGGGTCAAGGAGGGAACTACGACGTTGATGGTGCCCTTCCCTTTGAAACTTTGCTGGCAGAGAAAGGGGCCATTGAGATGATATGACCAAGACTCATGCCACCCAGCACCACCGGTGTAACATTACTTTGGCATTAAGAGTGCTTTGTGTAACACTTAGTATTACGATTTAGTGGTATTTTTTTTTACTTGTAAGTGAAAAATCTTAGATTCGATTCTTGTCAAAGATAAATTTGAACCACATTATTATGGCTAGTCCTGTGTGAAGCTTAGACCACTCCCTCATCTTCATAGTATAAATAATATAGTTTATTAAAGGAAAAAAAAGAAGAGTGCTTTGTCTTTGTGCAATGTTCGCGTGAGATACATAAAGTATATATAATTCTTTTGGAATAAATAATTGCTAGCTTTGAGTCAGTGGTTTGCTCCTTTGTGGTGATTTTAATATTATTCTGGATGCTGCTTTTTAATTTAAATGAGGATTGTAATAGGATTCATGCAGCATCATTGTTTTGTGGATTTTTTACGTTGTTTTGAAATATTTGATATTTTAAGTTTTTAATTATTATTTTGGTCAAAAACACACAGACGAGGATTGTAATGGGGTTCATGCAGCATCGTTGTTTTCTTTACTTGTAAGTGAGAGGTTTTAGGTTTGATTCTTGTCAAAGGTGAATTTGAATTACATTATTATGGCTAGCTCTATGTGAGGTTTAGGCCACTCCCTCATCTTCTTAGTATAAATAATATAGTTTATTAAGAAAGAAAAAAGTGATTTGTCAATTGCTAGCTTTGAGTCAGTGGTTTGCTCCTTTGTGGTGATTTTGATATTATTCTGGATGCTGCTTTTTAATTTAAATGAGGATTGTAATGGGGTTCATGAAGCATCGTTGTTTTGTGGATTTTTTTTACACTGTTTTGAAATATCTGAGATTCTAAGTTTTTAATTATTATTTTGGTCAAAAATACAAAGACGAGGATTGTAATGGGGTTCATGCAGCATCGTTGTTTTGTGAAATTTTTACGATGTTCTGAAATATCTGATATTATAAGTTTTTAACTATTATTTTGATCAAAAACACAAATATTTAACTATTAAAAAATTGAAAGTATTTTTTATTCCAAAGTAACATAAAATTTGCTATGCATAGGTCATGTTTTAAGTTTGGGGGTATGATATCCACATACTCATTTTTACTTCTTACACACCATTTTAATTTTCGGTCGTCGGATCGGATAAATTGAAGAAGATCAAAGGACAAAAATCAACAAAGAGTGTGTGAGAATCAAAAATGAGTGTGTGAGAAGTAAAAATAAGTTTATTGTTTTCTTTCTTGGTAACAAAGGAACAATAGCCAAGCGCCGTGTCTCGCTTTGATTGAACGATGACCGAGTAGAATTGCAGTACTGCGGTCCTCACAAAGATGTACAAGATATTTCAAGCGGAGATTTTGAAATAAGGTCTCACTAAATTAAGTTTTTCTGATACATAAGTAATTTTATTTATTTTTTATTTTTATTTTGCAAAAAAAAAAAAATATTAATTGTTTCATATGTCCACGTGGGGCTCAATGCTACGTTTTTTTGCATAGTTATCGTTCAGTTAAGCGCAACGTCATACTTTAACAGAGCTATTGACGCCAGTCTAACAGAAGTATGAATCTATGAGCAAAATATAATTTTAGTTATGAAAGTAATACGAAAAAAGTTAAGGGTAGCAAAGTGTGAATTTCATGATACATGAGAGTAGTAAAATGAGAATTAGTGAGCCGGGATCCTGCCACATCATCAGTTAACGGTTAGGCTAACATATCAAAATGGTAGAAAAATCACACTTTACGTATAAAAGTGAGACAAAAAAGTTTGTGCAATAAAATCAGATTTTGACGAAACTTGAGAGTAGTAAAGTTAGAATTATCCCTTTTTTAATTTATGAAGAGTGAAATTTAAATTTATGTGCGAGGGAGTAAGCACACTATCTTAATCAACTAATCAAACAAGTTTTTCTTTCCTTTTCTAATGGAAACTTGTATTAATTTTATTTTTCTTTTCAAATATTACCGAACGAAAAAGGAGAATTGAATTTGAGAACTCAGTGTGAGTGTTCGATTGACATACAAAGATATTATGAGAGTAATCAACTTTTAAACATTGAGGGGGGTTGGCGGTTATAACTTGTATGTCAAAACAATCGACATTGAGGGGTGGGTTGGTGGTTATAACTTGTATGTCAAAACAATCGACATTGAGGGTGTCAAAACAATCGACATTGAGGGGTCATCTCAAGATAGATACTTGTGTCAATTACGAGGGACCAAGTCCCAAATGTTAATGGAAACCTACCACCTCCAAAGCTTTTTTTTTTTAATTTAATTTTTTTATTTTTATACAATGATATATATGTGATCGAAATGTCACATGTTTGAATTGTGGAACCAATCTCCTTGAAAAAGTAAGAATAAAGCTGCATACGATAGACATTCCTACCGATTCTCCAAAAGTGGGAGTTTTGTTGGCTTAAGGTTGCCTTTTATACAATGATATATTTACACTAACTCACTAAGGAGTGGAGAAAATAATTATAAACAAATTTGTCACTCCAAACTTAAGATGTCTCCAACTAGTAGAGATGAATATCACTAAACCGTATTATTAAGTGATGCTCCAAAACTGTCTTAGCTTCTTTTACTCCAGAACCCAACAGGATCATCTCCAGATACTCTTTGTGAGGATTTCGTGGATATGTGAATTGTGTTCGTTTATCGTTTATCGTGCAGTCAATTTTCGACAGATACTATTTGTGTTCAATTAAAAAAAAATTAAATAACTTATGACCGCACAATATACGATGAATGGACACGATTCATGCATCAAAGAGAATCCGAATTCGTCCGGAACTATCATGATTGCTTTCTGTGTTGAAGCCAAACAAGGCCTAAACTTAACCACTTATTTTCCCAGTCCAATTACAATGTGAGCCCAAGAATAACAGTCAAAACTAAAACCGTATCGAGCCCAATTTTTGAGCCCAAATCATCACTACAATTCTCAATCCCTCCTCTCTCCAAAAACCCTAAACCCCCAAAAGGTCGTATCTTTGCTGAATTTTGATTCCCTCGCCTTAAAACCCTAGCAAAACATCGTTACTTCCTCTCTTCCTTCTCCTCTGCTCATTCTCTTCCTCCGCCTCCATGGCCGCCACCACTCCAGCGCCTCCACCTTCCACCACAAAACCCACCAAATCGATCACCAAGACGGTGAGGAAAGCCGTAAACGCCCTCATCAAATGGCGGAACGACAAGCTGCAGACCCAGAACCCCGATCTCTTGGAATCCGACGAGTTCGCCTACCTGGTTCTCACCCTCAAGAAAACCCCCCCAAAGGGTCGCGTCAACGCCTACAAAATCCCCCTCCCAAATCCCCTGCATTCCCAACTCTCCGAGCTCTGCCTCATATACGACGACGGACCCAAGTCCAACCTCACGAAGGACTTCATCGAGAAGAAAATCAAGGCCGAAAACATAACCGTGTCGAAAATCTTGAAGCTTTCGAAGCTCAAGAGCGATTACGTGCCCTTTGAGGCCAAGAGGAAACTGATGTATTCGTATGATATGTTTCTGGCTGATAAGCGGATTGTGCCGTTGCTGCCAAAGTTTTTGGGGAAGCATTTCTTTAAGAAGAAGAAGATTCCGGTGCCGGTGGACCTGGAGCACAAGAATTGGAAGGAGCAGGTGGATAAGATTTGTGGGTCGGCTTTGTTGTACTTGAGTACAGGGACGTGTAGCGTGGTGAGGGTAGCGAAGGTTTCGATGAGCGTTGATGAGATTGTGGCGAATGTGGTTGCGGCGATTGATGGGATTGTGGAGATGGTGCCTAAGAACTGGGGAGGTGTGAGGTCTTTTCATTTGAAGTTGTTGGAATCGCTTGCATTGCCAGTTTATCAGGCGGTTCCGGATGTGACATTGAAGATTGAGGAAGAGAAGGTGGTTGAGGAAGGTGCAGAGGAGGTGAAGGAGGTTGTTAAGAATGAGCGCAAGGATTTGAAGAGTGAGAAGAAGAGTAAGAAGAAGGGTAGGATTCATGAAGTGAGGTATTTGGATAGCAATGTCGGCGAGGTGCTTGATGATGATGAATTGGGTATTCTTGGTGATGTGGATATTGGGGAAGGGAAGCAAAGCGAGAATGATGAACCGGGTAGTGGCGAATTGGGGAAGAAGAAGAGGAAGAAGGAAAAGGTTGGTGGTGAGTCTAAGGGTGAGAAAAGGTTGAAGAAGTCGGCTAAGGCGAAAGATGATGCTGAGTTAAATGGGGAAAAGGTTCTTGGTGAGAAAAACAGTGAGAAGAAGTTGAAAGGGTCGGCAAAGGCAGAAGAAGAGGACGGTGCCATTGTCAAGAATGAGAAGGATGGGTTGTCTTCGAAAGAGAAGAAAAAATATGCTACAAAGAAGAAAGCAGATGATTTGTCGGCCAAAGGCGAAGAGTCTGTTGGAAAGAAGGAGAAGAGGAAGAGTGAAGAGTCTGCTGGAAAGAAGGAGAAGGGGAAGAGTGAAGATGAAAAGTTGAAGGGCACAGAAGCAAAGCTGAAGAAGTCTAAGAGAAGTAAGAAAGCAGCAGAGTAATTCGGGATAGCAAGCTGCAGGCGAATGACAGGCTTTGCGGTGGGATTCAATACATCCAGGAGTATGCCTGTCCATATGGAGTCGTCTAGCAGA